GTTCATCCTAAAGGACATAAGGAAATTAGCTCTTAAAGCCAAAAATGCAACTGGAACAAATAATAACTCAAAAGGTGCCATTAAAACCAGAAACTTACTTATTAGGAATACCTACAAACAAATATGAAAAAGAAATAATATATTTAATAACACACATTTTGACTGCAGCAAGAATCATATAAGCACAAAATTGGAAACAAGAAGAGGTCCCGACTCAAGAGAAATTAATATCCAAAATTATGGAATGTGCTGAGATGGATAGACTCACCAAGGAGATCCAAGGAAAGGAAGAATCTAAATATTATCTGGTCTGGCAAAAGTGGTATAAATGGTTAGAGGGAAGTGAAAAAAAAAGAGAAGAAGAAAGAAAGGAAAATTAAATAAAAGAAAAGATATCAATAGAGTAAAATATTTTTTTTACATCAAATGAAATTTAAGAAAGAGATACCAGATATCAATAAAATAATATCATTATATAAGGTGAGAGAAATAATGTATACTGAAGAATATAGGATATTGATATTGTAACAATTCAGATATTATAGGTAGATGTCATTAAGATGATGCTTGTTGTAAATTGTTTTACTTGCATTTATAAATGTATTATGTGGTTTCTTAAATTAATAAAAGTTTAAAAAAAAAGAAAAAGAAAAAGAAAAAAAAAGCCAAAATAGTTAATGTGGTGCCACCCAGTTCCAGGAATGTATCTACTGGCCTACATAAAATCAGGTTATTCCTAGGATGTGTGTAGAACTCATTCTTTGCATCGGTGTTTGTTTTCTTCTCCATCCAGCTACCTGTGATACCAATGTAATTTTTTTTCTGGAATGCCCCACCCATAGAAACCCTGTGAGGTTTTAAGGACGTATATCATATTGATAAGCCTCAAGTTTAGCTACTTCTCATATGTGGGAAGATAGCAATTAAATCAATGACAAGATTTTCTCTATTGCTGACTTGGATTGGTGTTTTTTTGTTTTTGTTTTTTTTTAGCGCTAGGTGCAATTCACCCCCAAATTTGTGGAGAAACTGACTGGATCATTCTCTGATCTTCAGACAAAGGAGAAGTTCTCCAAAATTTCTCAAGAGCAGAGAAAAAAGTCTGAAGAAAGGAGAGACCTTGAGATTTCTTTTCTGGGATTGAAACGAAGCCTGGGCATTCAGGGACACTGCAGAGAGATGGAGAGCGGGTTGCAAGGGAAAAAAAGGAGATAACAATCAATCTTTTGCCCACTTTATTATGAAATAAATGTAAAGACTTCTGAGTCTCATAGAATGAAATATATGTAGCTCAGTGTTGAATTGAAATGTGTGAACTGCCTACAAGAAAATAATGAAGCTGAGAGAGCACCTAAGACTGTCAAATGCCTGTCCAGTCTCTTCTTGAAAATCTCCAGTGATGGAGCCACCCACAACTTCTGGAGGCAAGCTGTTCCACTGATTGATTGTCCTCACTGTCAGGAAATTTCTTCTTTGTCCTAGGTTGGATCTCTTTTTAATGAGCATCCATCCCTTACTCCTTGTCCTGCCCTCAGATGTTTTGGAGAATAGGTTAATCCCTCTTTTCTGTGACAGCCCATCAAGTACTGGAAAAGTGCTATCATTTCACCCCTAGTCCTTTTCTTCATTAGACCCGACATACCTAGTTCCCTCAATTGTTCATCATACTTAGAGTGTTCTGTCTCTTCCTTCTCTCCTTCATAATGTCCTTTCCTGTTCCTTATACCCAGAGGTGTAAGGAAATGGAATATCATTGTCCACTGCTTTCCTTCTGGTCCGAAAAGTGAATTGAGCCCAGCAGATGTAGACAAGCAGAGGAGAAATATGAGGAGATGAAAAGATGCCCTCACTGAGGTAGTCCATGACATTTTGCTACCCATGGAGAAGAACAAAATGGCAATGTCATTTTGTCGTTTTCCATCAGTAGAAAATGAGAAGAATTTTATTTTGGCTTCAGGGAGAGATTCACTTTTTTAAAAAAAAATCATACCAAAGGTAATACTAGTTTGGGAGCTCAGGACAAGCTGGAATCTCCTTGTGGCTCAGTTCACTGAAAGGAAATGGCTAGCAAGTTCAAGAGGAATAGCTGGTAACTCCAGTTGCTTACCCACAGGATCTGACACCTGAGGCCGTTGCCTCATTCTGTTTAATGGAAGGGTTGGCGCAGGCAATTCCTCCTAAACTTGAACTGATACATAATTAATCATCTGGTGGACGGGAAGTTATCATGGCCTGGGTAGAAGAACTGCTCTCCTCACCTCCTTCAATCACTTGGACCTGAGAACTGTGCTCCATTTTGGAAGCTGGTTCTTCTTATAAAGAAAAATGTTGTAGTTGGGTTATCATTTTTTTTTTTTTTACATACAGTATATGGTGGGTATAGTAGCAGTTATTTTTAAATAATTTTTAAATTTATTTTGAACTCTGGTGCTGGAGAAGACTCGTGAGAGTCCCTTGGACTGCAAGGTGATCAAACTGGTCAGTCCTAGAGGAGATCAACCCTGACTGCTCTTTAGAAGGCCAGATCCTGAAGAGGAAACTCAAGTATTTTGGCCACCTAATGAGAAGGAAGGACTCCCTGGAGAAGAGCCTAATGCTGGGAAAGATTGAGGGCAAAAGAATGGGACGGCAGAGAATGAGGTGGCTGGATGGAGTCACTGAAGTAGTAGGCATGAGCTTAAATGGACTTCAGAGGGTGGTAGAGGACAGGAAGGCCTGGAGGAACGTTGTCCATGGGGTTGTGATGGGTCGGACATGACTTCACAACTAACAACAACAATTTAAATATTTGCAGTACATGTAGGGAGTTGGGCAAGATAACATGGGTGATATGACCTCTATACCATTATAAATCAAGCCATAAACAAGGAGAGATGTCCTTCAATATCTACACACAGGCATAAGGATGCATATGCAAGAACCCTCTTCTCCCACTGATCAGAGCTATATAGTGCTTCTCTTTTGGACTTTTTCAGAAGTCTATTTTACTTAGATGAAGTGTGCATGCAAAATTAAAAGCCAACTAAGTAGCAGCTGCCTTTCTGCTTATATCATGAATTAAAACGTAAGTGCTCTCTTAGATAAAATCCAAAACGTATGAACAGCTTTGTCCCAAAAGGATGCACTCCAAAATTTGTGGGAGTACAATTCCCAGCATAGGTTCTTGTATAGTGAAATGTAGTGTAATATAATTCATAGGCAGTCCTTGACTTGCAACCATTTGAAGTTATAATGGCACTGAAATAAAAGTAACTTATGACTGGTTCTCGCATTTCCATGGGCACATGATCAAAATCTAGGTGCTTGGCAACCAGGAAGTATTTACGATGGTTGCAGCATCCCAGGGTCATATGACTTGTGACCTTCCCAGCTGGCTTCCAACAAGCAAAGTCAATAAGGGAAATTGGATTCGCTTAATAACTGGAGTGAATCACTTAGCAACCATGGCAAAGAAGGTCATAAAATTGGGCACATCTTACTTAATAACCACCTTGCTTAGCAACAAATATTCTGGTTCCAATTGCAATCATTAGTTGAGGACTACCTACAGTATACCCAAGCCAGAATAGTAAATAACCTGTCTACAAGCAAAGAAGATAACAGTACTGAAAGCATGCTGGACTTAAAAACCCTTTCATACATGCATAAATCACGTAAAGTTTAGAAAGTACGATGAGCGTACCTCTGAGTCTGCATCTAGCAAACTTCTTGATTGCATTTTTATATATAAAAAAATGGGTAGAAAAATTGTTGGTTTGCAAATCTCTTCTCAAAAAAACAGTTAGAGTGAGCATCTCACCCTGCTCATTAAAAAGGAAAAAGAAACTACAAATCCCATTTCCCCCTGCTGAGAACACTGATAGTCTTCCTGTTGCTAGGTGTTTTTCTCAGGCAGAAATTAATTCTCTTCTTCTCTAATTTGTGATCTGGGATGGAAAAAAGTCCTTCATGGAGTCTACCGTGAAAGAAGTCATAGATATGATTTCCAGTCATCTCTACAAAGGAACTGATGCTCACTCAGTGGCCCATGGACCCATTGGAAGGACAAATACCCTACGTCAGAAAATCGTGATAGGGATGAATTTCTATTACCCTCAAGATAAAATCCCAAATACAAAGCTTTGAACCTCTTATTATTGTTCAGAACAATCATATCTCTAGCTGCTCATGACTGAAGCCTTATGGATTTCAAGAGCAGTGGAATTTTAACTGCCTTAGTCTGGATCCAACCTTGATCTCAACTCAACTGCAGCACTCTGGTGTAATCAAAATAGAATTAAATTAAACTTCAGTTCCCATGAAACTATGATGCACTATTGTTGACACTGATTTTAATAGTATGTACTTTCTGGATCCGACCCAGAGTTTCTATCTAAACTTCATTTTTAAAAGGCCCTGATGAAAAGTAGCAGAGTGTAATTATATTTAATGTTTGATTTTATTTTTGTTGGTGCTATAAATCAAATCGACTCTGTTTTCCTTTCAAAGACTGCAACTCACTCTTGAAATTTCCTTCATTTTAATAAATGCAAAGGTGGCGAGACTCATTCTTGCTTTTAGTCTGTTCTTTGTCTGCAGAGTTTCTCTGGGAATCTGCTATTTCAGAATGAAGAAGAGGTACACAACACTTTCTCACTCCTAAAACAGTCCCAAACCGACTGCAGAAACTCCTGAAAACGTTCCAAAGCCTTTGCTTAATTCATTCAAACCCGCAGACTGCCTCTCGGGTTTCTAATGCAAGCTCAGACGATTGCCTTCCTGCTAAACGATTCTTTTCAGCCACGTTTCATTTCAAAGACCCAATTGGGATGGAGAACTTTTCCAGAATTGCCTCTATCGGTTTTAAAAGTTGCATCCGCATAGGAGCTAAACCCATATTTTTCCAGACACCAGTCTCGGTGCCATAAGGATGTCAAAACATGTTTAGCCATACAGTCATTCAGAGCTTATTCTCCTTCCTCTCTCCATTGTAATAGGAGGGGGGAAAATAAGTAACTTACTTGTTTTGGAAATCCTTCTCTTCTTCAGTGGACTTTCCCAGGTCCCTCCATCTGCTGCACTGAAATTCCCCTTTCTATAGGCTGAAAGGCCATCAAAGAATCATAGATCCTTTTGGCATTCTTGGAGTGAAGAGGAGGACGACAACAAGGCGGTGGAAAAGGAGGAGGAAGAATATTCCAGCAGCAACATTCCAAGGGTGGAGTCACATCGCAAGGCAGCTTCCTAGCACACCCTGGCTTGTTAGCCTTGTGGTAGATGGTAGAAGCTTGGAACTCTTCCAGTTAAGTAATACAGGCACACCAGCGAAGTATACACAGCTCCGGATGCGCCCAACAGATTCCAGCACCATTCGTCAATGATGGTGCCGGTTCTTGGTGTTCAAGGGGTAACATCCCCTTGGCTGTCAAGGCTGGGTTAGGGTGAAATGGGCATTGTAGGGCATCATATTATGGGGTGGAAAGTTGAGTATTTGAAGGCACTCGTCATGACGTTTTGGAGTGGGACCAGGTGGCTAGTTGACGAGGCCTCCAAGAAAATGTTACAGAATTGCTGAGGATTGTATCCAGGGCAGGGAAAGCAGGAATCATGGAAACTCCAGTTAAGAGTATTGATGCAAGCAGAAGGACAAGTTGCCTTGAGGACCTCCAGTCTTTTTTTTTTTCTTAGTGAGGACCTTTGCCCCTACAGTTGAACAAAAGCTAAGTAATGGTCTTAATTTCTATGGCCATAGAAAACACAATAATATATTTTATTAATTTATATGTCATATTTCTAAGCTGCCCAAAATTTTCATTGAGATTGGTTGTCCAAGGTAGCCCAAGCCAACAGTTAACAAAAGTAGGATAAAGAGCAGGCAAGCAAATATATAATCCAAGTGACTGGTTGGTTTGATTAAACAGCTCAAATGTTTAATCAAACCAACATTTTTTTTATTTTTTATTTTATTTTATTTCAAATGTATATACCGCACCTTCTCTCGAAAGACTCAGGGTGGTGTACAGCCAGATAAAAACATACAATACAAACATTAAAAAACAATTAAAAGGATATATATTAATTTGGCCCCAGTTTAAGATAACAAACCAATTAAAAATTAAAAATATGTTAAAAAATGTGTTAAGCCAGCCTTTAAAGGTAAAGGTAAAGATTCCCCTCACACATATGTGCTAGTCATTCCTGACTCTAGGGGGCGATGCTCATCTCCGTTTCAAAGCCGAAGAGCCAGCGCTGTCCAAAGACGTCTCCGTGGTCATGTGGCCGGTATGACTAAGCACCAAAGGTGCATGGAACGCTGTTACCTTCCCACCAAAGTTGGTCCCTATTTTTCTACTTGCATTTTTTACGTGCTTTCAAACTGCTAGGTTGGCAGAAGCTGGGACAAGTAACGGGAGCTCACCCCATTACGCGGCACTAGGGATTTGAACCACTGAAGTGTTGACAAGCTCAGTGTCTTAGCCACTGAGCCACCGCATCCCACCACATTCACTTAAGAAGCTCTAAAGAGCCCAGACTTACAAAGTCTGAAGAACTTACAATTACTTAGTAATTTACTGAGAAAAAAAAACTTCAATATGATCCTGTCCAATACTCCAATTAAAACTTTCCTCCAGGTGTTTTGGAAGTGAAGGCTGGGAGTGTGGATGAAAGATAAAGCCAAATTGTGAAAGACAATCTGATCTTATGCCCTTAATACACCCATCATGGCATTCAGTGAGCACCATATTTTTTTTCCTCCCTTATATACTGGTCCCCCAAGCTACATGGGTGGGAAGCAGCATAATATAGAGACCAAAACATAATATAGAGACCAAAGAGTAGCAAAAACAGATATTAAACCATCGGCACATTAAACCAGATGACCATTTCACAGGCCTACTGCCAAACTGAAATCTGTCATGGCACAGCCAAATGAGCCTGGATGGATTCTGCTCATAAGCACCATTCTTTTTCACTCCTTAATTAATAGCCAATTATGGAACATCATCATCACACTTCAAAGCAACTCAAAATTAAGTCAGGTTATTTTTTGGAGTTAGGGTTGCCAGGTCTGCTTCCAAAAAATAGCGGACAAGTGGGGGGGGGGGGGTTAAATAGTAAAAAAATAATAAAAAATTGCAATTAAATTATATATTTTATTACAAACATTTTAACACGTATTAAAATAATCACTTCAAAACTTTACTTAAAATTCAAAACATCAAATATATTATAATAATATGTAAAATATTAAATTACATTTTACTTTGCTGTCATGTGTATTTTTTATTTGACTGCGCAGCTTTGATTAATTCTTTGTGTTTAAGGAATAATTCTTTAATTTCAGTACAACGTTGAGAAATATTAAAAAATATACAAAGTTCACTTCAAACTGATGGTACAAGCAGTCGGTTACGTTCGTCAGTCCACAAATTTCCCATGACGCTGAAAATTCGTTCAACGTTTGCATTTGATAGCGGAATTGATGCACAATACTGGAACAGTTTCAGTAAACTCGGAGCTGGCTTTTTCTTGAAAAAGTACGTCCACTTATCAAGGGATGAATCGCCCTGCAGATGAACATAAACTTCTTCTAAGGCAGAAATTTCATCGAAGAGAGTGTTGGGTGGAAGTTCTTCTCGCCATGGTGATAATAACCAGATGTTCATCATTTCTTCTAAAGTTGGAGGATTATTGCGATCAATTAGATTGAAACAACTTAGCATCTCATATACTGAATCGGTGAAATTATACCACTTTTCTAGGTACGCAATGGCTCTTTGATACACGTTGATGGCTTCTTTCTTGAACTTTTGCACGGCATTCTCAGGCAAATGTTTTTTACATAAGGCAAATAAAACTTTCATTCCAGAGGACTTCCGGCGGTGACATCATCACGAATGGGTGAGGAAACGGAGGCTCCGTCTCTGAAACCCAAATTTCCTCATTAATTGCTCTTTAGGGGCATTCCCGAACTTGGAGGGATCGGGAAATTAAAGAGGAATTCGCGAAGCCCCCTGGTGTTGCGCTGTCATCAGGGAGGTCGAGCGATCAACCTCTTAAATTGGTGGAGAAGAAGTCGGCCTTATCGGCGGACAGGAGGGATGGCGCCCGCCTAGATCGAAGCAAAAAGTGGAAGCAAATCCGAGTGACTGTCAGATAGATCACCTACAACAGAGATGGCAAATGGGACGCGCGAGCGAATCAGAGAAAGACAAGTGAGTTACAACAGCGGCGATACAAGAGCAGAAGGAAAAAAGGGGGAATAATTATAGCGCGGAAGAGAGAATCCCATAGAATGACTAAGCAAATATAAGAAAAGGAGAAATAGCGCTCGAAGCGGTCTGACTGCGGACCTTTACAGCTGATCAAAGGGAGCAGCCTGTGGACTTTGTGGATATAGAGACAAGCTGTTTGATCTTGGGAATTATAACTGATTCAAACCCCAAACATTGGAAACCGAATACAGAGACTGAAATACCGGACTAAGTGGTGAATTTCACGGATACAGAAGATCTGTCGGGATTTCGAACTCTGGATTTACAAATAACTTTGGATAATAAGAACTCAAGTTTAAAAAAAAAAAGATTTGAAAATTGAATGCAGAGATCCGATGACTGGGAGAAGAAATTAAAAAAAAAAAAAAGACTGAGACGACACAGATTGCGTTTTTCATGATTGTGAAAGAACAGACTGAGAGAGGTAAAGCAAGAAGACAATAAGGACTAAAGAAAATAAAAATTAAGTGAATTATTAATTTTGAACTGTTTAATTAGTTAATAAGTTTAATATTTGAAAGAAATATATAAGTTGACAATATTTTTATAGCTATAAATTGTATTGTGGAATTGTAGTTAGATAAGGAATTATTGTTAAAGCGAAAGACTGATTTTTATATATCTCTGAGATAGACTGATTGAAAAAAGGGGGTAACTGAAAAGATTGCTAATTAGAAAATTAAGAAAATTAAATTAAAATCCTGATTGATAAGTAAATAGATTTATACTGTGAACAAGAATTAATTGCTCAATTGGGATAACTGGCAATATAATATAATATAACTATATATAAGTTGTGTGGTGTATAAGTAGTATTTGGAGGGGAAAAGAGATATTAAGGAATAACTTAATAATTGATGTTAAGGTTGGAAAGCTTTACACGAATATTAAAAATGTCTACAACATCCACCATAACAAAGACAGGGAAAAAACCTACAACTAGTACGTTAGTAATGACTCCTTCCCCCTCACAACAAAAAACAATAGATAGCATGATGGGGAAAGAAAAAGAAAAAGAAAAACTGGAAATGGCACCTAATGTAATACAAGATATGTTTCAAAAGATCCAGGAAACACTGCTTCAAACACAAGAAAAAATAGCTGAAAATCAGGAAGAAATGAGAACGTTCCATGCAGAGATCAGAAATGAATTAGGAGAAGTTAAGGAAGATATTAAGACCATGAAAGATAAAATTGGGGGCATTCAAAATTCTATAGCAGAAAATGAACAGAGAATTAGGAAAACGGAAACAAAAATAGATCACGTGGAATTAAAAGTAGAAGCAATGGAACAAAAAACCCTACAACTAAACAAAGAAATGTCAGATTCCTTGGCCATGCTCGAAATGGAAAAGGCCTCATACTTCTTGCGTTTTCAAAATGTCCCAGAAGAAAAAAATGAGGACTTAGAAGGAAAGATGGTGGAGATTATTGCAGGAATGATACAAAAAGAGCCAGAAGAAATAAAAGGACAATTGGAAGAAACTTATCGTGTACAAACAAATTATATAAGAAGACACAGATTGGCGAGAGAAGTCCATGTTAAATTTTTAAAAAAATCAATCCGAGATGAAGCCTATAAGAAATCTAGAGAAGAAACGGTGATCTATAATGGAAAAGAAATTATAATCTTAAAACAGATACCCCGAAGAGTAAGAAATCTACGACAACAATATCAGTTTTTAACACAACTACTGATCAAATACAAGATAATGTATAGATGGTTGCCAATAGAGGGGATCTTAATTACGTGGGAAGACAAAAGATATAAAATAGATACTCTAGAAAAGGCAAGAGAATTTCATAACACACATTTTAGACTAGAAGTAGAACAGGAAAGTAAGGAGGAAACAGATAGTAAAAGTCAAGAAGAAGAACCAATAGAAACAAAGGAAGAAAAAGAAAT